CGCGGGCTCAGGCAATCCACTCACCTCAGCCTCCCAAAGGCGCGGGATTACAGGCTGAGCCACCGAGCCCGGCCAATAACTTCTTAACCTTAAGAAAGAGGGCCTTTTTCTCATAGGCTGAACATTGAGTAAAAGAAAAAAAGAAAGAAAGAAAGAGGACCTAGATTTCTTTTTTTCAGTAGGAATTGAAGATTTTTATCTCAAGAGAAGGGTTAGGGAATCATTTTATTAATAGGAAAGGCAGCATATAATTTAAAAATACACTTCAGAGAATAATTACAAAAGTTTTAATATTATTGCATTTTGGTAGTCTTCTATTATGTAACTGATTGATTTCATGGTTGATATGGTAATTTTTGTTCTGTCACTCCAAGACCACTCACTTGTACTCACTTAAATAAAATAAGAATTTTGTATGTATACATGCAGTAAAAGAGGATTGCAAATGTTTCATTTTTACTAGACTAGTATAACACTGATTTGTTTATTCAGCTAAGAAATGAAACACTTAATTTACCTATTTCTAAACTTACAAAGAAATAATTATTTTTTAAGTTCAGTTATATGCTACATAATGACATTTGAGTCAACAACAGACCACAGATATGACAGTGGTCCTTTGAGATTATAATGGAGCTGAAAATTTCCTATTGCCTGATGACTTCTTGATGATTATGACCCTGTGTAGGCCTAGGCTAATATTTGTGTTTGTGTCTTAGTTTTTAACAAAAAAGTTAAAACAAAAAAAATTTTTAGCAGAAAAAGCTTATAGTGTAGGATATAAAGAAAATATTTTTTGTACAGCATTACAATATGTTTGTATTGTAAGCAAAATGTTGTTACAAAAGAGTCAAGCTTAAAATTTCTTAATTTATAAAGTAAAAAATGTTATTGTAAGTTAAGGTTAATTGATTGTTTAAGGAAGAAAAATATTTTTAAATAAATTTAGTATAGCCTAAGTGTACAGTGTTTATAGTCTATAGTAGTGTACGATAATGTCCTGGGCTTTCCCATTCACTCTCCACTCACTCGCTGACTCACCCAGAGCAACTTCCAATCCTGCAAGCTCCATCATTCATGGTAAGTGTCCTATACAGTTATATCATTTCTTAGTCTTCTTTTAAACTATATATTTAGCTGGGCTCAGTGGCTCAGCCTGTAATCCCGCACCTTTGGGAGGCTGAGGTGAGTGGATTGCCTGAGCCCACGGGTTCAAGACCCGCCTGGGCAGCGAGACCTCATCTCTACAATAAATCAAAAAAATCAACCGGGCGTGGTAGCGCATGCCTGTAATTCCGGTTACTTGGAAGGCTGAGGCGGAAGGATCACCGGAGCCCAGCAGGTTGAGGTTGTGGTGGCCGCTCCCTAGAAAATGCCCCAGGTCATTTGATTTTTCGAAAAACAGAATAGAGGAGTTGACTATATTACTCATCCACTACAACATCTATTTACTTACTTATTTTTTATTTTAAAGATGTAGGGTATGATACAAATGGTCATCATACAGGGAAAGTTTGGGCCTCCTTTTGGTCCCCACTTTGCCTGGTTTGATATCAGGTGCCCCTATTGATGTTTTCCTCCCACCCTCAAACATCTTTTTAAAAATGATTTTTTTCTCACCTGAATATCAAGTGAATCATATCCTTTGTGATTTGGGGAACTATAAACTGTAGGTTTAAACTTTAAAGTATTTTAAGTCTTTTTCCACTGCCTTGAAAACATTTTTATTGCTTTATACTAAGGGCTAGCAAACTATGACCCACAGTTGGTCATAGTTTTTATTAGAACAGCCATAACATTTAATGACATACTGTTTGTTGTTACTTTGCCTTGCAACAGCATAGTTCTATCAGATAGAGACCATGTGGTGCACAAGTCTAAAGTATTTACAGTTTATCTCCAGCCCTTGCTTTATATTTTTATATAGTTATGTCATAGTCTTATAATCATTCTTTTAGTTTATAAACACTACAGTGAAACTTAGTTTATAAATTTGGCACACATTTTACGTTTTCTACGTAATTTTTGTTTTTATTGATTACAGTGTTTCTCTATGTTGTCCAGGCTGGTCTTGAACGCCTGGCCTCAAGTGGTCCTCCTGCCTAACCCTCCCAAAGTAGTTGGGATTGTAGGCATGGGCTATCATGCCTGGTGGCCTACATTTATTTATTACCTGGACTAGAATTCTAAGTGTATACTTTTTTGGATTGAAGAGTATTCCTTTTTTAATTAAAAAATAAATATCCACACTTATTTTAGTAAATGAATATAATCTTTATAGAAAAGTATTAAAATAATTCTCAAGTTTTCAGGGTAAAACTGAAAATTCTCCTACCACAACACTAGTGAAAAGCTTCTTGTCCCAGCATAAGCGTTAAGAATTGAGGATTTACTCATCTAGAATTTTTTTCTTTGACTCTTAAATTTTATAATTACTTTTTAAAAACCAAATGTGATTTTAATTCCTATTATTCATCATTTTTCCAGTATGTGGCCATGTAAATAATTCCTGGCTAATGAATTGTGAGTGAAAATGACTTCTTCCTTGGAGCATTTACTTGTTGATGTGAAACTCTTTAGAACTCTTTTTATTTCCTTTGGCATGGTGACTAGTCGTATTTGAGATGGTGATTGTTCCATCAGGCTGAGTTCTTGAGGCACTACTGTGAACAAAGTCTTTCTGTTTATTCAGATGAGCATCTGAGAGAGAAATAAGCATTTTTAACTACTGCATTTAAGAAATTATTTTCTCAGCCGGGTTCGGTGGCTCAGCCTGTAATCCTGTGCCTTGGGAGGCTGAGGTGAGTGAATTGTCTGAGCTCGCGGGTTCGAGACCCGCTTGGGCAACTTGGTGAGACCTCATCTCTACAATAAATTAAAAGATTAGCCAGGTGTGGTAGTGCGTGCCTGTAGTTCCAGCTGCTTGGAAGGCTGAGGCGGAAGGATCACCGGAGCCCAGCAGGTCGAGGCTGCGGTGGCTTGAAGTGGCCACTGCACTCCAGTCAGGGTGACAGAGTGAGACTCCAACTCAAAAAAAAAAAAAATTATTTTTTCTGCAGCATAATACAGGAATTAATCCTGAAAGTGGAGTGCTGCCTTAAAAAAAAAAAAAAAAAGTGAAACCTAAACTAAATTATTACATTGACTTAGGTGACAGATGTGAGGCTATATGAGGTGTTCCACATT